CTAAATTGTTCAATAGTTAATTAGAAAACAAAACAGCACATGATAAGTTTACTTGTAGATGGTCCATAAGGAGTTAACCATGAATTAGGAAAGGGACAGATCCTGAGCTGGGATGTCTGGAGAAATGGAACCTTCACTAACTTTGGAGGATGCATAGATATAAAAGAAAATAAATAAAAAATAAAAACGAGACACACACACCACAACACACACACACACACAAACACACACTCTGTGGAGGCCGAATAAACATGCTGTTAACGGAAAAATAGTGAAAGCACTGGTCTGACCCTAAAGAAAACTTTGTGTTACAGAGTTATCAACATCCCTAAGTAACAACTCTTTTTTTTTTTAAGATTTTATTTATTTATTCATGAGAGACAGAGAGAGAGAGAGAGAGAAGCAGAGGGAGAAGCAGGCTCCCAAGGAGCAGGGAGCCCAATGCGGGACTCGATCCCAGCACCCTGGGATCACGACCTGAGCCGAAGGCAGACGCTTAACCATCTGAGCCACCCAGGTGCCCCCTAAGTAACAACTCTTAATTCGACACACAAGTCAACAATTATTAAACTTCTATTTAATAATTAAATGTCAATTATATGCCCATTTGTATTATTAAACTGAATTTTATAATTAAAATTCAACAATCATTAAATCAACTCATCTTCTATTTGTTCCTGGAGATAAAAAAGCAACCAGCCATTTAAAACCTAAATTCTAGAGGGCCTGTGTGGCTCAGGTGGTTAAGTGTCTGACTCTTGATTTTGGCTCAAGCCATGATCTCAGAGTTGGGTGGATGTGGAGCCTGCTTAAGAGTCCCCTCTCTCCCTCTGCCTCTGCCCCTCCTCCCCTGCTCTCTGCCTCTCTCCCTCTTTAAAAAAAGTAAAAATAATAATAATAATAATAAAACCTAAACTCTAATTTTTCATTAATTCTATAGTCATTTATTGTGTCTCTACCTTGTGGACAGCACTGGGGATAGGACACAGGGAAAGAGGAAAAAATACCGAATATAAATTAAATGAGCTAACCTAGTCAGGCTTACTAGGCTAAGCATTTTAACATGTCTTATTTCACTTCATCTAACTCAATCCCTCCAGCAAAACCAAGCAAGGATTTTGTCCATTTTACATTTTTGAAATAGTGACCGTCTCTCACTCAGATATTGAGTAATCCATGCAGGCTACACAGGTAGTATAAAGCTTATAAACAATTTGAGACACAAGATACAGTCATTCAAATAAGTAGTTACTGCGCACTTAGTGTAAAAGATACAAAAGAGAGGTTAAAAACTACAGAGGTAATTCTATGATTAAATGAAGGGAAATAGGGGCGCCTGTGTGGCTCAGTCGGTTAAGAGACTAACTTCGGCTCAGGTTATGATCCCAGGGGTCCTGGGATCGAGCCCTGCATCAGACTTCTTGCTGGGGTGGCAGGGGGAGTCTGCCTCTCCCTTTCCATCTGCCTCTCCCCCAGCTCATGCTCTCTCTCTCTCTCTCAAATAAATAAATAAAATCTTTAAAAAATAAAAAATAAATGAGGGGAAATAACTTTGGCAAAGATTATGATAACATGCTTTACAGATTAATGTGACCAAATCTAAATTAGTGGGTTTTACCCTGTTGCACATTGGAGTCAAATGGGGGAGCTTTAAAGGAATCTGATGTTTGGATCCCAACTCCAGAAATTCTGATGTAATTGATCTGAGGTATAGTCTGGGCTTCAGAATTTTAACAGCTTCTCAGGTGATTCGAATGTGCAGGCAAGGTTGAGAGCCGGTGTTCTAGAACAGTGCTTCTGAGGCTTTAGAGATCATACAAATAACCTGGGGAGCCTGTTTTACTGAACATTCTGATTCCCTAGGTCTGTGGTAGGGCTCAGATTCTTCATGTCTTTCCTATGCCTGTGTGCTGAAATGGCAGCATACATAAAATACTAATGGAACCCAGAGGAGGGGATATTACTTACTGCTTGGGGAGAAAGTGCATTAGGCAAAATAACTGATATCTTCCTGGCCTGAGCATGGGTTTTGGACTCAGGATAATACAATCTTTTTGCACCAAAACAGATCTTTTTCTCCAGCAAAGTAAACTACCCTCTCGAATGCTTGTTATCTCTAAAATCCCAATTTTCACCATTCTGTGCACCATCTACTAGCTCTATCCTTTTAGCTCAACCTTATACTTCAATTATACCAATTCTTAGATTACAGAGAGTTCCAATCCATAGTTCCCAGGACTTTTTATCTATGTATTGATCTGTCAGTCTATATATCAGGATCTATCACCTTCCTATAACCTTTCCTTCTTGCCTGCCAAAGATTCCATGATGCATTATTACAATCACTTCCTTATAAACACCCTCATTTGCTCCTCTGTGTGATATTCATCCTCAGTTAAGTCCAATCATTCTTTTCCATGTCTTCCTTCTCTTGACTGAAGGTTAATTGAGAAATTCATACCACTATTCCATCTGGACTCACTTTATTTTTTTTTAAAGATTTTATTTATTTATTTGACAGAGAGAGAGTGAGAGAGGGAACACAAGCAGGGGGAGTGGGAGATGGAGAAACAGGCTCCCGGCTGAGCACGGAGCCTGATGCCGGGCTCAAACCCAGGACCCTGGGATCATGACCTGAACCCAAGGCAGACGCTCAACGACTGAGCCACCCAGGCGCCCCTGGACTCACTTTAAATTGAAAATACGCGCTCAATTCAGCTGGCAATACCACAATCTTCCCACAGTTCACCTTCTCACTCTCAGAATATATCTCTGGTCTTCTCACCCCTCCACCCTCTTACCCCCGCTTTGCCTCACTCTCAGCTGAAGACCTCATCTCATTTTATTAAGAAAATGCATGTGATCTGGTAGGAACTACTTTATCTTCCCACCCATACACAAACCATCTGCACCTGAATTCATCTTCTGTTTTTTCCCCTCCTGTTAAAAGGATGGGAATCTAGGTTCTTCCCCCCCCCCATCTAGGTTCTTTTCGAAGGTCCACTTATGTTTTGGATCCATCCCTTCATTCTCCTCTATAATTTCATTCCTGTAGCTATTCCCTTTTTCTCCAACATCAACAATTTCTCTCTGTACTACACCATTTCCACCATTATATAAGCATTTATCTGTCAACACAACAACATTAACAAAAAACTCCCCTTGCTCTATTTAACCCACTCTAGCCACCATCCTATTTCTCCAATCTTCAACCCCCCACCTCACCCCACCAAAAAGACTCCAAGAAACCAACCAAAGAAACAAAACTTTAAGACTTGTCCACACTTGTTCATCTTCTGTTCTTTAGTACACTTCAGTCTTTCTGCCTCACACCCTGAAACTATTCTTGCCAGAGACTCTAATGATTGCCACGTTGCCAAACCATTGGTCATTTCTGTATACTCACTACATGACTTCTATGCAGCATTTGCTATAGTTGACCACTTCCTTTCAATTGGAAAACTTCCTTCTCTTGACTTCTATGACATCAACTTCTCACCTCACAGGTCGTTCCTTCTCAGTCTCTTGTTAGCTCTTCTTCCTCTGCCCAACTTTGAAATGTTGGAGGTTCTCATAGCTCAGTTTTCTGTCTGTAGTCTGCCTAGGTAATCTCAAGTAGTCCCAAGGTTTTAGGTTTCATGTATAAACTCATAACTGCCAATTTTATGTCTCCAGCCTAGACTCAGACCAATATATCCATCTGTTTACTTGATGTTACCATTTGGATATCTAATAGGCCTCTCAGACTTGATTATTGTCAATGCCCACCAACCAAAAACCACTGGGAATAAAACTGTAGTTGAACAAGCTGGGTTTATTGTTTTAGTAGGTGAGAACACACACCATGGAGAACCTTGGGCATCTTAGTAAGAGGGTGTTAGAAATTTGGACTTGTTAGGTGATTTACAGGAGGGTTCAAGGAAGAGGGACTTTGCTCTGGATTGGAAACTGTAGGAGGCAGGAGTAATTTTATAATTGGAAATTTTATTTAGTATTATCTAGAAGGACTGAGTATTATCTACTGGGCTGAGGCTAAACTGTAATCGGTAAAGCAGCAGCAGTCACTCATATTAGCCAGGATAGGAAAATGTTTGCTTATTTTCGTGGCTCAATGTTTCTGTTTTGCCTACAGTTAGATATGGTTAGAGGTATAATTACAAAAATAACTTTTATTTTTGTCTTGATTTATCATGGTCATAGAGTAGCTTTGTCAGATGTTGATTTTCTGTGAATTTACACCCCCTCTTACCACCTCCCCCAACATACCAAGTTCATTTCTACCCCTGCACTTGCTCTATCCCTTGCCTGGTAGTCTCTTTCCCTATTGGCTCCCACCATGGTGCTTCTTTTCTAGTCACTTACACATCCTTCCACTTGATTTCCTTCAAAGAGCTAATCAATATCTGGAAGAAATTTGTTCATTTGTTCGTTTCTTTGTTGTCGTCTCCTTACTGGAATTTTGCTTCATACAGGGTTGATGTTTTTCTGCGGTGTTCCCGGGTGTAACCCCAGTCTCCAGAAACCTGCCTTACAGCCATGGGCTCAGTAGGAATGAACGAATGTTTGAATGTCGCTGGGCTCATTTCTGCAATAAAATCATAAACAACCGGCAGTTGCATTTTTTGTTTGTTTTAATTTAGTAGGGCACTCAACAAAAAGAAGTGAAAAGCAGGGGTCAGGAAACTGACCATCTTTTATCCATAGTGTGCCCAGTGTCTTGTGTGGCCACGGTATGTCAGGATGTGCTAGAACTTCTAGAACCTGAGACCTTTCTGTATCTGAATTATCTTTCCTGAAAATAGTGCTGGATCCTTTACCTTTCGGCTCACTATTTTTTTTAAGCAAAGAATTATTCCCGGGCTTTATCTCTGTAACCGCTCTTTTAGCCAACCACCGCCTAGGGGAAGAAACCCAACCCTCTTGCGCAAGCGCCCAGTAGCCGATTCCGCGACACCGAGGGCTTTACAGTGCGCATGAGCAACCTGAAGCGGCGAGGCGGGAAGTGTTGCGCAGGCGCGTTTGGCAGACTCGCTAGGTGGGGAGCTCTTGGAGGCGGCGACCCAGGCGTCTGGGGAGCCACAGAAGTCGTATTCCCTTAAACTGTGAGTTTCCGACGGTTTGTTCCTTGGCGCGGGATTTTGAGGGATTAGAAACGAATTCTGGATCGTGACTTCGGTCTTGTCGCAGCGCAGTAACTCCCTCGCCCCCTTCGGATCCCGCTGACCCACGGCGGGAAAGTCCTGCGCCTGCGCACAAGCATCCCGTTCGCTCTCGGGTCTGAGGGAGGAAGGTCCTTCCCGGCTGAGCTCGCGACCCGTGCTCCTAGAAGGATCCCATTCATTCCGTTTTCTCTTTGCCCGGCGTTCGTGGCCTGTATCGGATCAGTTCTCCATCAGCTTGCACGGGGCTTTGGACAAGCCTCCTGGCGCTCCCTTTGAGTAGTCAAACCATTTCCTCCTTCAGTCCTCTCCCTCAGGTCAAACCGCTCTCCCTACAAGGCCTACCCCAACCTGTCCCTGCTCCCCCATTCTCCAGCTGGCTGGTGCCGGGGCGGGCTGCCGCCCCGGTTCCCACCAACACCCTTTCCTCTGCCGCCGGCCGCCGAGGATGCTCCCCTGACTGGGACATTTTGCCCTCGTTCGCCCTGCTTGTGTTTCTGGGAAGGTGAAAGTGAAGCAAATGGAATCCTTAGAAATGGCCCACAGGTTTCCCACCTTTGGGATTTAGACATATGGTGCATTCTTAAATGTTTGCCCCTTTGGGGAGAGTGGCATTTTTTAGTGCTTGGTTCAGTGAGTGATTTAAACTTCTCATCTTCTCCAGTATTCTAATTTTCACAGCTGCTTTGTTTCCCCTGTGGACATGACCCCTTAGCTGGCATTTTGCATCCCAGTTGTTTTGTGATGGAGGCATCTTTGGGGATTCAGATGGATGAACCAATGGCTTTTTCTCCCCAGCGTGACCAGGTTCAGGCGGATGGCTCGTTAAAAAAACATGAGCAGAATTTTAAACTACCAGGTATGTGTTTAATTCCAAGGATGTGCAGGCAACAATTCGGTGATTTCGATTATTTTTTTTTTTTAAAGGGAACTTCCTGAATGGTAAAGTGAGTTATATGTTTTTATGGGAGCATTTTACAAATCAGTAAAGCATCCTAAGATCTAGATTTAGGATTGGATTGCTATCCAATGGGATGGATAGCAATGGATTACAGTCCATCTACGTCATTTTACAGATGAAGTTGCTAAGGTGGTTATCCAAGAACACAGTTTGTTGATACTCAAACTAGAATTTCTTTTCTCCTAGGCCTGTATTCTTATCTCTACTCACCATATTGCATTAAACTTGGATTTAGAAGTCAACATTGGAGGGATTTTCAGTTAAAGTATTGAAAAGCAGAATTCACTGACAAAAATAAATGGTTTAGCAATAGTAAAGCACTGTTTCTCCGTGTACCTTATGAAGTGTTGTTTGACCCTAATCCAGACCCTGAAGTGAGAAGGAGGGGAACAAACAATACTTGATCTTGTAAAAATGTGCACCTTCATTCCGGCTCTAGCAGTGCCTGGGACATAATAGACCTTTAATAAATACTTGTTAAATAGGGAAGTCCCAGTTGACCATTTTTCTTTTTCCTAAAAGGTAGCTAAATCTTTTCCATCTTTGTTTTAAACATATTTAGTGCTTGTCCAAAAGATATTAATTTGATCTCCTATCCATGATATACTTATTCACTACAAAATAGACTTTAACAACACCCTAGAAGAATGACATCACTTGCTTTTGCTTTTTGACTGAAAGTAAACTCTTCTTTGGTTTCAAAATGAGTACCCTTTCTGATGTCCCTGTTTTTGGTGATGAAAGCCACTATTATTCCAATTACCTGTGCTTAAAACTTTAAAGATGTCTTCACTTGTGATTTGTATTTGCTCCCCATATCCGGTTACCCAGCTTTATCTTCTTTTTAATATATGTATGGCATTGCTTCTTTCCATTCCCACTTCTACCACAGTAATTTGTTCCCTTATACTTTGCTCCTGAACTGCAATGAAATTTCTTATCTAAACTGCCTGCTTTCACTTCTTTTCCATCCTCCAGTTCATCTGGTACACTGCTACTAGAACAATCTTAAAATGCCACTTCATCCAGTTTCATGGATGCTGTCCCTCTTCCATTTTTCCTGTTCTTCGCAATTCAGCTTTCCCCTATGTCATTGGACACATAATACAATAACAGAGTCATTGTATTATCGTTTTTCTATTTTTTAGCACTCCGTGTATTTTGTCTTTCCAGTTATCCTGTAAGCTCCTTGAAGGCAGTATCTCATACAGCTCCTGGTGTATGTTGTGCTTTAGGCAGAGTATATGAACAGATGAATCTGACTTGGTTCTAGTATTATGTTCAAGTGAAAGCTATTGTTCTAATATTCTTCGGAAAATCTGAGAAATAAAGAGAGATGAATTTTATTCTAAATTTCTAAAGTTTTATGGCTTTTACGTATCAGATCATTGAACCTTATAAGCAGTACTTTTTTTTTTAAGATTTTATTTATTTATTTGACAGAGAGACACAGAGAGAGAACACAAGCAGAGGGAGTGGGAGAGGGAGCAGCAGGCTTCCTGCTGAGCAGGGAGCCCGATGCGGGGCTTGATCCCAGGACCCTGGGATCATGATCTGAGCCGAAGGCAGACACTTAACCAACTGAGCCACCCAGGCTCCCCAAGCAGTACCTTTGATAATTCATAAAACATGCTGAAATTTTAGTCATAGCTTTTTTCTAATGACTCTTAGTAAAAGCTAAGGTTATATCAAAAACAACTTCAGTCAGGAGTAAAGCTGATGAGATCCAGGCCCATAACTGTCTCATGATCTAATATGATTTACTTTCCCTTGATGGAATAACTTTTGAATGCTGGGAACTTTTTATGTATCTTTGTATTCCCAGAACCTAATAGTGTATAGCACATAGTAGGTGCTTGAAAATACTTGAATGAATGGTTTATTTTCTTTTAAAGATTTTATTTATTCATCTGAGAGAGAGAGAGCACAAGCAGGGGAGGGGCAGAGGGAGAAGCTGACTCCTCGCTGAGCGGGGAGCCAGACTTGGGGCTCCATTCTAGGACCCTAAGATCATGACCTGAGCTGAAGACAGATGCCCAGGTGTCCCTGAGCCACCCACGCACCCCCAGTGAATGGCTTAATGCAAGGATATAAAGTAAAATACTTAGTGTAATGGATGAATAACATGATCTTTTGTTTTGGGATGTTTGTTTTTTATAGCTTTTTTTTTGATAAAAAATTATACATGCTTATTGAAGAAAATTTACAAAGTATAGAAAGCCAAAGTAAGGAAATAGTATCCCACTGTACAAATACTACCACTGTTGACATTTTGTTACAGCCCTTATTCTTCCTGTGCATACAGAGGTACATTTAAGAAAAGAATAAATTAGGAATGTAACAAACTTACTTCTAATCTTTATTTTTTTTACTTAGCAATATGTAACTTGAACATTTCTTATGTAATTAAATCTACAGCTTGATTTAAATTGACTGCCTAATGTTTCATTGCATAGTATGCTATAATTTAATTACCTTTTTTGTTGAACCTTTAGATCGTTTTCCATTTTTACCTATTAAGAAAAATGCTCCAATGAACAAAGTACTGGGCATAATATTGTATCAAATGTTTATTTTCCTCTGTATTGTTGAACTATACCATAAGGCATGCATTTGGTGTGTTATGTGGATGCTCTTGGTTGATACTACTAAAATAGGTTATATGTGCCATATGATTTGCCTGGGACAGATCCAGTTTATGCCTGTTGTCACACTGTCATTATTAGCGCCCCTTTTCACTCTCAAGAGTGCCTCAGTTTGGGTTAAATTATATGATCTTCCTAGTTTAAGAGATGTAAGTCAGGCAGTACATGAAGCTCCAGAATAAGCATCACATATATTCCTAGAGTGTCAGTTTTACTCCTTGGTAAGTAATTGAAAACATTTCATTTATATGATGAATATTAAATGTTTATCATGTGCAGTTACTTTTCTAGGTGCTGGGATAAATCAGTGCATAAAATAGACAAAAATCAATGCCCTCAGTCTAGGGGAAAGATAGACAATAAAGAAATATTCAAAAGTGGTTTAGTACTGTGAAGAAAATATAGAAGGAAAGTGGAGATAGGAAGCGTTGGAGGAGGAGATTGTGATTTTAATAAGTGTAATTGGTCAGAGAAGACCTCAGTGTGGTAACAGTTGAACTAAGACTTGAAGGTGGTAAAGGAGTGAGCTATGTAGAAATCTGGGGGAGAGCATTCCCTGGCAGAGGAAACAGCAAGGGAGAAGGCCCTGAGATGGGAGGTGCCTAACATTTAGGAGTAGCAAGGAGGTCCTTGTGACTGGAAGCTGGAGGGTGATGGGAGTGATGTCAGAGAGGTGTGAGGAGAGGAGGTAGTTCCTTGGCTTTTATACGAAGTGAGTTATGAAACTATTAGTGAGTTTGAGCAAAATAGTGACATGGTGACTTAGCTTTCACAGGATCACTCTGGCTATGTTACAAATAGATTATATAGGCCAGCAATGATGAAAACAGTGAGTATAGTGGCTTTATTAAAACCACTTGGGTATGTTTGGAAAAAAATAAATAAATAAAACCACTTGGATATATTATGTAGCAGGGAAAAAAATTTTACTTAAAATTTCAAAACAGAAGCCTAGACCTTTATGTTTAAAATATAGGCATTTAATTTTTTGGCTCGTAGACTTTTCACAGTCTTGCCCTAATCCTCAAAGTATATATTCATTCATCTCTGCCTTTAGTAATAGTTTCCATTGGTTAACATTAACACTTTCTTCTGCTGTTTACTCTCATCTCCACTTTAGATTTGAGGATTTTGCATTCAGTTTGGTTGTCAGAAAGTTTTACTGTTGTTTAAAAATGTCAGAGTTGTTGTGTAATGACAGGAAACTAAGCATATTTTGAGTTTTGTAAAGACCAGTAAGTACATAGCAAGTTAGTGAGTGGTATGGAAGCCCATTGAGCTTACATAGTCATTCACATGGTTTGTGCATTACAGTAGTTCCTTATTACATGTATTTTTCTCTGGTGATTTCTAATAGTTAACCAGCATCTCTACTACTAACTGCCAGCTCATGCTACTACAGAGGGAAGTTCCAAAATATGGAACTCAGACTTGGAAGTAAAGTTCGTCTAATCTGACCCCTTTGATTGGCAGGTTAAGAAACTGGACATTAATGTGGTTTAGTGATAAAGAGTTGAATCTAGGCTCTCTTCTATATCAGCACTCCAGTAGTACCTTCTGTGATAATGGAGATGTCTCTGTTGTCACCTGTGGCTAGTGTGACTGAGAAAATTTTTAATTTTTTTAAACTTTAGCTTAAATTTAAATAGTTGCATGAAACTAGTAGACAGCACAACTCTGTGTCATACTACTACAAAGCTTTTGGTGTTATTAATCATATATACACATACAACAAAAGATGCACACAAACACTTTAATACATTTAGTAATAAAAAGACTACAAACAGGCTTCTTAACATATTTCATCATATATAAATATCATTGTTAGATACACCATTTTATATACTGCTCAGAAATGCTGCCAGTTATACTATGACACAATGCTTTCTTATCACCTAGAATTTTTTATTTTATGCTTTTTGAAAGTTTTTTTAGATCTAATTAGACAAATAATTGTATGTCTCTGGTACATAATTAAAAAGGAAAACAAACATTTCACCTCTTTCTCTTCTGAATCAATTTTAGTACTTAGACTCACTGACATCCTATTTTTCCCCCCTCACAATATTGTTCTCTCTACATTAGTGATGCAGCATTTCTTTGAGGAGTTTTTTTTTTTAAAGCCATTGTTAATGGACTCCTAAAAGCCCAATTATGTGGGGGCACCTGGGTGGCTCAGTTGGTTAAGCGACTGCCTTCGGCTCAGGTCATGATCCTGGAGTCCCGGGATCGAGTCCCGCATCGGGCTCCCTG